CATGATACATGATAGCACATGTATCAATACACAGAGACTCATTTCTGAGCAAGAAGATGTGGTGAGGCTCTGGGGGCAGCTGGTGTGTGAAAGTGCAAATGGACAAGCACTTGGAGAGGAAAAGTTGATTATTTGTCAAAGACTTGAGCTCTTTGAGGTGTGTCTTGCAAATACACATCCATTACCCATCTTTTTGTATTTTCTATTAGTTTTGTGTATTAATTTCATCTCCACTTAATATGCTCTACATTATAGAGAAAGAGACACAAATATAGCTCTGAGAAGAGAGATTATTCAGTGGGGTAAGAATATTTCAGGAATTAGCAACTTCCCAAAGGCATAGGAGGCAGAATTGGAAGGAATCTGGAGAGATTTCCCTGTATACCTGTTTTGCCTAATATTCATAGGTCTTTCTTGACAGCTCTGACTATTCAAGTTTGCTTTTTGATAGGGCTGTTGTAATAGTTGCCTTGTTGCTAATCCTGATTGCTGACATTATTCAGTTGGTGGAGTCTCACAAATGTATTTGTCATGTTGCAAAGAAGCATGTGTAACTGGAGGCATATTCTCCAAACTAGAACAAAAGTTAACAACCAATATTACAATAGTCTCAGAGGTGAAAACAGGTTTCTATTCTATGGAATATCTGTATTGCTGTTTAATTTAAAAATAAATACAACAAAATTATGGTAAATGTATGTACTATAAAAATTATTTATATATACTTAAGTAATTCCATAGAGAAAAAGCAGTAATTCACTTTATTCACTTATTTAATGAAGCAGTAATTTTGAGATGTGATTAAAATTTTAATTTTTTTCACGAAGTGGCTTACCAGTTGTCTGTATCATAGAAATGATTTTGCTTTTAGCTGTCTCCATTCTATACTTTGTGAGCATGTCATATCTCTTACTATTTAAATCTTAAACTTGCATTAGTCTCTGGACAAGTAGAGTTTCTGCCTATGCTTACCTTCAGGATAAATCACAGGGTGTTCTGTGTGGGTGTCACTCCCTGGGGCTTTTGACTAGAAGCTTTTCAGCCCTGGCACTGCTGTTAGTTTAGGGGAAGTACAGAGCCACACAAGTTGCTAGTTTGGGGCTCGACTGTGGTAGGTACGAAGTCTGTGTTGCTTTTGTGACATGACCTAGAGTAACTTGCTGTGGTTTTGAAGAGAGATTTGATTTATACTTTAGCACTGCCAGACTCAGAACATAATGAGTCTTTTCTTTCCATTATTGGAACTGTTAAGAGGAGCATCTCTTTTTTTTTTCTTGGCTGTCAGTGCTGGAGGTTAGCCACATGAGAGTGGAAGGGTGTGCTAAAGGAAGCAGAAGCTAAAATACTAAGGAAATCTTACAGAAAGAATTCTTAAGGATAAGCTTGATTGAAACAGAAAAGTGTTACAAATTTACTTGAAGATGCAGTGGAAAAAAAGTCACACTTTTCTATGGCCAGATCCAATCATTAGTATTTCTGTCAGAGTAAGGTCTTTGTGTTGATTCTTCATAAACTACTGTTGTGACAATTCTTAGGTACCTAACATAAAAGTAATGGCATCAACAAAAGACAGGAATGTTCCCGAGGCAGTCTTCATATGTGACTGGTTGTAATTGGCATGTTGTAGTGGGACCTCTGATATTAAAAAAAAGAAAATACGATCCCATTATCAACTATTTGTTATAAGGGAATCAATAAATTCCTCTGTACAAAAACTGAGCCATATGGTACATATTCAAGGAAAAGCAACTGAATCAAGACGCCAGTGTGTGTCTGTTTTCAGTAGTCTGATGCACCAGAAGTGATTTATGAAAAAATGCACAAGTAAAGAGATCATCTGCAAAGGTCTACTATTTCTACAGCCCCATTGAACTAAGTCTGGGTGTGCTGGGTTTAATTTTCTTCACAGCAACCTCTGTGGTGCTGTGTTTGGGATCAGTGACTCCAACAAGGTTGATAGCACACCAGTGGGTTGGCTATTGCTGAGCAGCACTTGCACAGTTGAGATTTTCTCTTTTCCCACTTTTCTCTCCAGTGACTAGACTGCGAGTAGACATGGGACTGGGAGGGGACACAGTCCAGGCAGCTGGCTCAGGCTGACAAGAGGGCTATTCCATGCCATAGAGTGTCATGCTCAGCAATAAAAACAGGGGAGGATGTTTTAGGGGAGGTAACCGTTGCTTAGACTAGCTTGGGCATCAGTCTGCTTGTGGGAGATGGTGAGTGATTGCCTTTGCATCTCCTGTTTTACTTTTCCTTCCTCTTTTCTTCACTTATTAAACTATATCTTGACCCGTGAGTTTCTCCTCTTGTCCTGCTGGGGCTGGGGAAGGGAGGACAGGCTGCATGGTCCTGACCTGCCACCCCGGGTGCACTCACCACACCATGGAGCAGCATCTATCAGCATGAGCTGCTCCAGTGGACAACTCTGGAGTGCAGGGTAAGACACCAAACACATGTTTAATGGTGTAGGTTTCTGTTACGCGCATTTACGAGGAAGTCTTCATGTGAATTCAATAGATTAAAGAAGAAATAAATAGTGTTAATTGTTTTGAATGTCCTATCAGAATGGCTTGGTGTTCAATTGCAACATTGTTTCTTTTAAACTTTTTAATAGTGCTTCTTTTTTCTTGTTAACTGCTACTATTGTTTACATGGTCTTGACTGGCCATTTACCATATCTGGCTAGAATAATAAAAGTGGACATGAAAAATACACATACAGCCTAGATAGTGAGAAGAAAAAAGTGAAAAAAATACTGAACTGAACACAAGCAGAGGGGTCAAAAATAAATTCATATGAATAATGATGACTGATTGTATTCTGCACTCCTTCAGATTTCTGAGATAAAAATGTAATCTAGAGAACTGAGGGCCCCATAATATTAACATTATTGTTTCCTCATAGCCGTTCATTGTTTACTACATGAAATAATAGGGTTCTGCAAAGTCATATCCTATACAAGAGAATTATATACAGCTACTCCATGGGTCTGTACTAGCACTGCTGGGTACATATTGTAATTTTGGTGCTATCACTATAGTAAAGTAATTTAAAAGCAAAATCTCCTAAAATAGCTCATTTAAGCTTAGTGTTTGTGGAAAGCAGGGTGTTTTTACAGTAGCTCCGTCAGGACACTGCTTATTTTTATTCAGTCAATTCCAGAGCACTTTTGAAACACTTTTGAAACACATTTGCACCTAACACTTAACTGCATGGGCTAAATCATCATACTTCAATACAGTCACTTTGTATTTGATAGATACCAGGCAGAAATAATTTTTATCTGATGTCTGTCAAACGGGTTGAAAAACTCAGTGTTTTGGTTTGTTGTTTTTTGGTTGTTTTGATGTTTTTTGGTTCTTGGGGTTTGTTTTGTTTTTGGTGTTTGTTTATGTTTTTTGGGGGTTTGTGAGTTTGGTTTTTTTTGGGTTTTTTTTGGTCTTTTTGTTATTGTTAATAGGATGAGTATCTAGGTAAGTCATCAGGGCAAGGAGCAAAACTCATTAAAGTTAATATCTTCCCAATCATTTTAGTAACTACACCAATCCCAGTGAAACAGTTTCTCTCAGGATGGGCTTGAGGAAATACTGACAAGTTGTTGGTGGGAGGGAGGACTGAGAGCGAAGTGCCACGGAGGTAGCTAGGTCAGACATTTCAGAAGTGGAAATTGATAGAAGGGGAGCAGCAGTGCTTGAAGGCATATGCTACTATACACACAAGATGGCATATATTATTTTGAGTGATGTTCAGTGCCTCAGTTTAATAGGGTGGATAACAAAGGCAGAAAGTTAGGATTTAAAATCAAAGTGCTGTGGGTTACATGAAGAAACTAACCTTAACTATGTCACAGTAGCAAAAAGTGATTTTTCTGTGTCTGGATTGGAATAATTGCTTTTCTAGAGGATACACTATGTGAAACTGTAATATGGGATTTATAAATGTGTTCTTATTTGAAACAAATAAATAGAGCTAACAAACTTCAGCAGTTGCTCATCTAGACTTCCTGTAAATATTAAATGTTGTAGGTATACTCAAAAGAAAATACATGAGACTGAAAATATTTAGTGTTTTACAGATCCCTTGAGTAATTAATATAAACTGATAATCTGTTGCTGTGAATAATGAACAAAGTAAATCCAGATTCAAAAATATTTCCTTGAATGCCAGTAGGAAAAATCTCTGTAGCAATCAAGAACAGAAAGATTTGTGTATGTGGATTTGATTATTAAAACATTAATGACAGTGAAGATGAGAACTGTTACTTGCCTTGGTTTGAGGAAATTCTGGTCTGCTTGTAATAACTGGCAGCATCATCAAAACATCTGTTACATTGTGAAATAAGCTGAAGAATCCCTCAAATAACCTTACTATGGAATTTTCCCTGCATCTTATTAGAGAGAAGAAATACTTTCTCTTTTCATTATTGGCTAAATGTTGACTTTAAATCAGCAGTGGCATTTTAAAACTATTTTTTTTCAACAAAAAATAGATACTTTTAATAATAATTTTTCTGAATTTTTGTACTAGTCACTTTTGAAGTTTCCACTGTATTTGTCTTTGATTATGTGTTTAATTATAAAAAATAGAGAACAAAATTTTGTGAAATTATTATAGGTTTTATACACTAGAGCCCACATGTATGTGGGTAAAAAAAATGGGTTTTTGTGTGACAAAGTTATTCAAATTTTTATATTAAAATTTTGTGGAAGGTAACTAATTAGAAAGCAGCCAGCCATTCCCCCCCCCAAATATAATTTGTTACAGAAGCTGCTGAGTACTATTTTGCACAATTGGATACAATATGACTAAAAGTCTTTCTTAATAAGGAATTATATTGATCTAGATTTATTGTAAGTTAATTCTAAGGAAACAAAAGGAGATGCTAAGATAAGTTATTTTTTTATGCCATTGTACTTTTTAACTTTTAAAAATTATTTTTGCTCACATAGAGAAAAAATACAGTAGAAACTAATATCTTGGAATTTCTTTTGACTTAGGAAAAACTGACCAAGAGACTACTGTGGCAGGAGATAAAGACATAAACCAGCCTTCCAGTAATCAAAGTATACAAGCAGAGATACAAGAGCAGTCCATCTGGGGAAATTGCACTGATGGTGACCTCATCAGAAGTAAGTATTTCCAGAACAAATTGCTGCCGTGGAGGCTTGCTTTCACCGTGTAACAGGATACTGCCTGTTGACTCTGTTAAATGTGTGTCAAATGCAATTGTGTTGCAACTGTAATGCACTGAATCTACTGAATTTATTTCCCAGATTGACTCCTGTCAGCATGCATAAGCAACAAGTATAAAGGAAGGCATGATTTGAGTGGTGCAGTATGCTATAGACCTCTGTAGCATCTAAGCTTTTAAAGCCTTAGTGTTACATTCTTCTCTTATCATTAATAGTACAACAGTTAGTACTGCACGTATGCAGCTGTGCTAGGTGTCAATCACCCTTAATTTCCCAGGTTATACATACATATAAGCAGCGGAGATATCCTGAGAGCTGTTGCTTCCAGATGCACCAAGTATTGGTCAGGTGTAAGTATTTTTAAGAGTTTTGAGTCCTAAAGTAGTTATTTTAAAAACTAGAAGAATGCTGTAAGGTAAGGTTTTAGACCTATGCTGTGGAACTGTGGAGTTCTTAAATTAGTTTTGACAGGTCCACATTCCTAGTGTACATTCTGCATGCTTTAAAACATAAAAAGGTATGCAAGATTATTCCTATTTTCCTGTCTTGGACTGAAGATCATAAGCTATCCATTGCACCCTCTTAAGGCAAAAATATTTCTGTCAGCTGCCAGAGGTAATGCTCTGTAATGCTCTAAAATTCTGTGAATGCTTGAATGTTAGTTGCTCAAGGGAGGGGCAGTATGAGGGACTGTTCTGTAATTATTGGGTGTATTCAAAAACAAAATGGACTAAATGCAGAGTGGTGCTCCAGCTCTCTTGAGATCATCTGATCACACACATTTCAGGCTTATTCTCTCTTTACAATGGACACTATACCGTTGACAGTGGGGTAAAATCATATTTCTGAGCCTGCTGTTTTCAAAACTGGTGATTTTTTGCTGCAGTTACCTGGTATTTTTTAGGTTGTTTTTTTATTTGTTCCGTTATTTTGCTTAGTTGTTTTTTAGTCTTATCTATACATTCATCTTCTCCAGAACTTTGTGTTAGCATTTGAAATTATTTTCTAATCTTAGTTAATAATTTATTTTTTTTTCTGAATAATCAATCCCAGTAAATACTTACACCTCTAATATGTAACCTAGATTCTTTACAAAAACTTGAATTTAACATGCCAGATAATCATCTAATGATTTAAAATAATTCTTAAAGGGCTACAAACAGGGAGAATTGTCCTGCACAGCTTGAGAGTTTACTTAGTCCCAAAAGATTATTGTTTTAAATTCAACTGTCCCTGGACAAGTAATTGCTTTGTGCTTGTGTTGAGGATATGGAAAGGTGTGTATAACATCTTCTGCTTTTGGAATAGCCTCCTTCTCATTCCCTCTTCCTAGAAGTTTCCTGGTTTCCAAACCCATAAGAAAGCAGATTTATTTCATAGCAGTTAGCAGCATGCCTAAACTATGGAGAAAAGGACCAAGAACTGTAGGGTGATTCTGTGCATCCTCTAATCTGCCACCAAGACATACTGCAGTGGCTGCACTGGGGAGTGTGAGGAAATCATACTTTTTTTTTTCAACATAAAGTAGAAATTGCAGCAGACTGTGGAAACCCCTGGTAAAGTGACTTGATGATTATATGTAGTTATATCTCTGTGATGGGAGGGTTAGTTGTGGCTGAATTAAAAAAAAAAAAAAAAAAAAAAAAGGGGGAAAGATAGGATAAAATGTAGAGGTGAAAGGTACTGTTCTAGTGTGCATGACTGTCCTCATCCTTGAGTCAAGAGTAGCTTTACCTCTTGACTTTGTGAAAAGCAAGTTTAGCTGAAAGCTGTAAGTTTCTAAAACACTTTGTCTTAATAAGTGTGTAGTAGAGGCTTTATTATGAGTCATATTTGATTAGATGTTATGATGCAAACCTCTCCTTGCTTCAGGTAACTTTTAGCTTAAAGTCTTCTAGATGGAAAAAATAAAAATTATGAAATCAACAGCTTTTTTTTGGTTTTCTTTTTTTGGGGGGGGGTAAGGGGGAGCTTATGAGTGGGGAAGTTTGTTCTCCTTTTAAAATTTGAGGAACAGTGCTTGACTCAGTTGTACATTTTGTAGTTTGCAGAAGTCTTACTACTTAATATACCTAGTAGCCAAGTTTGAAAACTAGAACAAGTGCAGAAAACATAAGATTTCTTATAACAAACATTACTTAGATATTTCATGTAAAAAAAAAAGTATTGTAGCTCAGAATGGTCTTGAATCAACCAGATCTATTTCCCCACCAAACTAAAGTTTGCAGACTGCTGCATATTGGAAGAAGTTTGAGGTTAGAAATAAATAATGTTTTAATTATTGCAGTATATTTTAAAACTCTTTCTAAAAATTGTTTTCGACAGCGCATACTTCACAACTGTTCAGCACTATCCTAATGATTCAGTTTCTTTTTTTCCCATACAGATTGTTTTCCATCCCCACAGTTGATACATACTCCATTTGTCTTAGCATTAGCTTTTACTTTATAAATGTTTCCAACATTTAATTTCCAAGGTTTTCCTTGTTTGCAGCTGTTTTATCCTGCTGTTATATGGAATTAGATTAATCAGTCAGTTGTACTGGCACACTAACAACGAAGTCCAGTGTTAGAGCCCCTGTAATGACTTCATTATGTATGATTTCTCATTTGCACTTGTGAACTCAGTTTACCAGGCAACATCAATAAACTAAAACACTGCCCCTGTTTTCCACAGTAAGATATTTTACGTTCACCTTTGTTTGCCCTTTCAGTCTTTTTTTCATGCTCCCTTTTTTAACCTCTAGAGATTTCCTCCAGATTAGCCCTTTCCCCACCTCCACCTCCTTTGGAGCATCCCCACTAATGGAAATGTTCATCTTATCCTGGGTAAATGGTTAACCTTACGGGAAGCGCCAACCAAGGTATTTATTGTTTTTGAAGAGAGTTTGAGAACCAAAAGATTACTGTATACTGACATATAAACAATGAAGGGCTGTATGAAAAGGAAGCAGTTGAATTACCTTTCTGTAGTAATTGTTAATACACTTGCATAACTGTTACTGGAAGACTGTTCAGTTGGAGAAGGGTCAGGAGAGAACTACAAATATCTCAGGAATGATTGGAGTAGTTGAAAACTTGCCATATTGTGGAAAACCCCCTGGAATTCAATCTGTTTGGTGTTAACAAAGGGAATAAAGAGGGGCTTTGCGTAGTCCCTAAGAAGCATGTCACAACAAACAGAAATATGGTAAGACAGTTCTCCAACTACAGCAAGACAAAGGGAGAACTAAATATAACATTGGGAAGTTCAGTTTGACTAGGAATAAGGTGTTCATTTTTTAGCAGGGTATTTGAGAGCAGAAAAAAGTGTCAAATCCTTGATGGCTTTATGTGTGTTAAATTTGCTTTAGTCATCACAAGGTGGCAACTACTATCCATATCCTTCAGTTTTAGAACCCGAGTAAAGGAGAGTCTTTCCATAGTGGTTTCCCCCAGTTGGAAGACATATATTTTTCAGTACAATTATTTCTGTACTGAAATAATTGAAGAATTATATTCTTCAAGTTAATGTTGAGACCTGTTCCTTTCCCTTCAGAGACACATACATATTTTTTATTTCTGACAGTAGAGGTTCTGCTTTTCAAAAGAGCTTTAGAATAACTCCATATGCTATCTTTCTTGGCAGTGCATTTTAAATATCTTCAAGCACCTTCTGCATATTTTCATTGTATGGTCTGGTGGCCCATAATGGACTGGTTCTGCTTCTGTTATCGCTCACTGTTGGCACATGAGGAGGAGTGCATGTTAAACATGCAGCAGGGTAATCTGTGGCTGTAGGAATGAAGCCATAGCAGTTTTTGTTGCTCGGTGTTACCACAATGCTCTGCTTTGTTCTCTGGAAGAGGTATGGGATTTTTTTTTTCCCCTCTTACAGCAAAAAAGGCTATAAAGATGGATTTTAGAATATTTAGGCAGGAGTTTTGCAGAGGGCACTAGGTTATCTTCAATGTGTGTTGCTATGCAGGGAAGGGAATGTTTAGGAGAGAATAAAATGCCAGTCTTGAACACTATTTGCTTGTGAGGATTTAATCTCTTTTCCAGTTCTCAAGCAGAACCTTAGCTATGTGATATTTAAGAAAACAAAAAACATCTACCATAGATTCAAATTGTCATGAATAATTGATTAATAATAATCCAATTCTGAAGATTAAATACCTAAAATATGCCCATGTTTTACAGATAGAAAGGTCATTGCTATCCATCATTTTCTAGCTTCAATTGTCTTTTCTCCTCCATGGAACACCCTCCTGATAAGAATGGTTCTTCAGAGAAAGGGATGCTTTTTCAGCTCTGTGGGGATCAAACAATTATACATGGTCTTGTGGCCACTATTTTATTTACTACATTCTTCTGGAATAAAAACCTAGATATTTTTTTGTTTTCTATAATTTTTGTTGACATTTTCACTTTACATGATTATTTATTTAATTTTAAGGTTTGGATATTCCTTTCTTTGTCTGGCTAAGTGAGTGATTTCTGTAGTTTATGTTATGCTGCTTATGTTTGGGTTTGTTTGGTTTTTTTCAACAAGAAGTAGATAATCTGCTGTTAGAAGTCTTTGTTTTGTTTGATATTAACCCAGATATCTTTTCTTGGCTGTTCTATGATGCACAGTCATCTTACAATTACTGTGATTTCAAATGATCCTGTTTTTTCCGTCTATAAAATAGTGCAAAGTGCTTGAGTTAACTTAAACGGTTCTTTTCAAAGCTAGAAAGTATGACAAATACAGTCTTCTTGCAGCATTACTGTGTGTGACCACAGAAGTTGTGCAGAGTAGATTAATGGAAATTTTTCAAAATATATTACTGAGTTTGAAAGGTGTATTCTACTAGTTAAAGAAGTGATTTATGTATAGTGTTCCAAATAGACCCAGGTGTAAAAATCTGTTAACCTATGGATGAACAAAACTTAATCAGTTCATTATTTATACAG